ATGGTTTAACAACAAATTCTTTTATCCTTAGCCAAGTGTTTATTTCAAATTATCTCTTTTTTTTAAGTCCTTTCAAATGAAACTTTACTCTTACTTATCTTTTTTTTCTCCCCAGGGCTGTGAGCCCAAATGTGACCTGTATGACTGAGAGAACATGGGGTGCAGTCTGGATATATTACTATCAGATTGCCAGGGCCTGCACAGACGGTGACTCTCAGCTTTGTGGACCAGCATTACAGTCACTGGTGGCTGATGTCACTCTATTTCCGGCACATGGAAGCGGTTCTTCTGCCCTTCATGTGGGTCACAGGAAGCACTTGCAGAAAACCTGCCTTGCCACTGTTCAGCACTAAGACTGACTCTCAAGTTGACCTGTTACCAAAAGATGCCAGCTGCCATTCAAAGTTCCTGCAGTCTATGTCCCACACAGAGACCTTAGGAGCATGTAAACATGAGCAGATGAGAACATCTGCATGTCAAAAACACCATGTTACAGTGGGAAGGCTCATCCCGCCAAGGCAGAAGGTCAGACACTTCTCATCTTGATGACTGCTAGAGTATCAAGATATTTTATGCAAAACCTCCCATACCCAACATTCTAAAAACTTTACAAGTTCAACAAATCATGTCTAAGATCTGTAATAAAGCCAGGTCAATGACACTACATTTAAGCCAAAACAAGAGTCCTTGGTCTACCTGCTGGGCCTGTGCTGAATACAACGCTCTGGCAACATTATGAACCTTATAGGTCTAACCATCACAAAGGCACAGAAAGCACCAGAATTACTCAGAACAACAGATCTGTGTGTAGAGTAAAACAGGAGGGCCAACATCTAAACATAAATGGATGACATGACTCTCCATGGTATGGTTAAGGGGAAGGTTTCCATTGTAGGGGGAGGGCGGGGGGAGAGGGAGAGAGCGAGAGAACAGCCAGAGGCATCTAGATGAGTCCAGAGCAGAGAGAGAAAATAGTAGACTGACAATGACCAGTAGGCTGGACCTGGTCCTGTAGAGAAGCAGGAGCAGAGTGGGGGTGGAGGGGTGGAAGAGGATATAGAGAGATGGAGAACGGAGGGGGAAAAGGAGCCAGGGGTGGGGACAAAGAGACTGTGGGCAAAGGAATACCAGGGCTGGAATACCAGGGTTATAAGGAGAATGAGTAGCTGGGGAAAGTTTAAGGTAGGGGTGGAGGTGAGGAGAGCTAGGAGCCCTGCTATTAACAGGTACTGGTGATACTGAGGGAGCCGGAAGCCAGCATGTGCTTTGGTATGCTAATAGGCACCACAGGTAGCCATTTGTCCCTTCTCCAGTGATAAGGAAAATGGCTCCTTTTGGTAAAGGGAAACCAGCTTCATAAATTCCTAAGGAATGTTGGCTTTTATCTAATCTCCAGAATTTGGCAAAGTATAGTTTCCTTTGGACCTGAATATCTACTCAGAACTTGGCCTTGAAGCTTGTACCATATCACTCTGGATTATCAAACAGCAGTAGATGAAGACAAGGTGAGAATGAGGTGTTTCTCAACTCAGATGTGTGTGTGTGTGTGTGTGTGTGTGTGTGTGTGTGTGTGTGTGTACACGTGTGTGTGGGTGGGGCAGGGGGATACAAGTGTGTCACTGCATGCTGTGAATGTCAGAGAACAAGTCTCTCCTTCTACCAGGATGGAACTCAGGCCATCAAACACTCATAGCAAAGACCTTTACCCACTAAGCCACATCAGCAGCTTAAGACAAATAAAAATTTACAAACTTATTCTTCTTTTTAAGAAGGATTTTTTGTTATTATTGTTTTAAATTATGTGTATATGTGTGTTTGTGTGTACGGACACCTGAGTGCAGGGCTCTACAGAGGCCAAGAGAGGCGATCAGATCCCCTGGAGCTGGAGTTATAGGCAGTTGTGAGCCAACTGATATGGGAACTGAACTCAGGTCCTCAGCAACAGCAGCCAGTACCCACTCTTCACCAGTGAACCTTCTTTCCATCCCTCAAACTCATTCTTATAAGGCGATTCAAAAAAGAAAACCAAACCAGACTGAAAAAAAAATAACAATACTACCTTTTTCTTCTATTGCATGGCAAAGTTAAACTCCAATGTCTCTGTACACAGGTGGCCCAAAGAGGAGAGGAACCAAAGCCACTCAGCACAGCTGTGTCCACAGTGCTGTCCCTTTTATTATCTGCCCTGTAGTTTTTGTCTCTAGGACACCAGGCCAAAACTTGGAAAAGTACCAGCTAATGAAATATACAGTCAACTTTTCCATACATGAAATAGGAGCTGTGTCCTAGAAACATTTCAAAAACTCAAAACCTAGATTTCACAGTCAAGTATTTTAGTGGTTTGCCTGCCCAAGACTCTAATTGGTCCTATATTTAACAAGTGTTTGTGGAGGAATCAAAAAGAAAAGAAAAAGAATTCAAACATTTTGGTGAAGCATGCATCCTTCCAATACTCAAAAAAAGTCTTTCTAAATATCTTCTCCTACACAAACAGCGCCCCACAGAGCAGGGCCTGGCTGCTCACAGTGGCTGTGGAGGAAGGTGGGAAACGGACAGTCAGCTGCACAAAAAGCAGCATGCAAGAAGGTCAGAAAACTGGATTAACAGCTGGGTGGAAATGCTTCAGAGTGAGATGTCAGTGTTGCCAACTGTAATCTGGTCACTTCAGGAGCAGGGAGGGGTCCAGACAGAACCCAGCAGAGCAGACCCCTCTGCTCACAATGAGGATACATGATATATTGAGGGTCTCCAGCCCACAGAACCCCACAGGTCAGATGCATATGTTTTCCTTGGTCTAGTGCCGCCTCCGTGTGAGGAGCCAACCCAGTGACTGAGGCTGTGATGTGTTGTTCCCCTTCAAAGGCAGAGTGCTGGCCTAGGAAGGCCAACTGCATGGCTGTCACTCAACTGTGAGGTGGAAGTGGGGCTCAAAAACAAGTGATTCCTACCCTAGTGCACAGCTCTGCAAACACTGTGCCCTACTTTGGTGAATGAATGCAGTCAAGGAAAGGAGAGGTCCTGAGGACCAATTGAGGACAGCAATATGCAGTATAAACACAGATCTCCACAGTATTTGACCCCGACTATGTTAAATAATACTCCTTACAGCTTAACACAGCACCTCTAGATTATATTTTTATGCATAAATAACCAAGGACATTCTAAGAAAAAGTCGCCATGCATGATACATTCCAGTTTTTTAAGTTTTTTATTTTTTTCAATTTTAGCGTATTCTGTCTCATTATATTTAAAATGCTACCAGAAATCCTTGAACTAGTTTCATGGTCCAGTGAAACAGTACTCTACATTTGAAATCTGATGCCAGGGGCTAGACAGAGGGTCAGTGATTAAAACTGCTTTCTTTTCTTGCAGAGGCCATGGATTCAGTTCCCAGCACCCACATCAGGCAGATTACAACTGGAACTCAAGTTCCAGAGGCCCTCCACTTTCTTCTGACTTCCACAGGGACTCCCACATCTAGATCCATTCCCGCGCCGCTGGTAGTGGCCCTTCTGGGCCCCTGGCATAGTATAATGCTAAGGCTGGTCCATAAATATTATACAGAAGGAAAATGGAGAGATTTGTCAATCATATGTTCCCCACTTGAAGGGACAGTGGAATGAACTTACTCCAAACAAGAATGTTCCTTCTCCATGGCAGCAGCCTGCTCACAGAGACAGGTGTGGCAGACCTATTCTGGAGAGGGCTATCAGTCCCTCTGAGTTATCAAAAGAGCACACCCTGCCAACTCTGACCTCTGAGGAAAAGCAACACTTGCATGTAGTGGTATTAGACAATTTTGAAGACTGAAAGGCAAACCACATACGTACTGCTTAGGTAACATTCCACACTAAACAACAGCCATGTTTCCTAAGGACATACTACCTCACTGTGAATGGATTTCTTCAAAAACCTGAGCATGGACCAGAGAGATGACTCAGTTGACAAGGTTTGCCTCGTAAGCAGAAGGACCTGGGTTTGATCCCCACATAAAAAGCTGGGCGTTGTGAGATGAGTGGTGAAAACAGGAGGGTCCCCGAAAAAACGCTGTCCAGAGAGCCTGACCATTGGACAAAGTTCCAAGCCAACAAGAGACCCTGTCTCAAGCAAAAAGTGGAAGGTACCTGAAGAATGACACTCAAAGTTGCCCTCAGATCACAAACACATGCTACATGAGCACACACACATGAACATAAGCATATGTGCAGAGAGAGAGAGAGAGAGAGAGAGAGAGAGAGAGAGAGAGAGAGAGAGAGAACAGGCATCTGAGAAGCATCATCTGTAGCAGGATGAAGGGTTTCCACCTTACACTGAAACCTGATCCAGGAGCTGTGAACAGTAATCAGTATAAATATGTGAAAGGAGAGGGACAGAGCTGAGGCTAGTGGCCAACGCCTGTAGTCCCAGCACAAGGAAGCTAAGGCAGGAGTATTACTGTGAGTTCCAGGCTAGTATGGATGATAATGTGAGACTCTATCTCAAACCAAACCAAACCCGAGATGTAGGATGGAGATTCCTAAGTGAACCAACTTGGAAGGAGTCTTGACAAAGATGAGTTGCCATGGGGACCTGGGGATGGAAGGAAGAGGGTCTTTTCTAACAAGTGGCTGCTGCTACTTATTAATGCTTCTTCAGGTAATGTCAGATTTCAAAGTTGCTTGAAAGAAAACCACCTCTTTTTCATCTGCCTCTTAATATGCTGAAGGAGCCTGTTGAAGACGAGGCAGCCACAAAGTAAGTTAGATGATAAATGTGTTCTTCAATCTGCGCACCAGTCAAGTAGCAATAAAATCAGAATAATTCATGCAAAAATTTTCATTATGTTTCTAAACATACTTATTTACATTTTAAATCACACATTAGACAATATGAAATATCTTTCATTTAGACAGGTGTGAGCTAGAAAACAGATGCATTCATTAAACATGGAACAATTCGGCAAATTAAAGGAAAAAAAAAAGAAGTCTCTGGTTGAAGTATTTCAGCCACCGTTAACTTACTTGAAAAAATATGGCCATGGCTCCAATTATTCTGTTCTCAGAAATTGCCGTTTGGAAGCTGTCAAAGTCGTCTGGATTGTAAAAGAAAATCTGCATCTGTAAAATAGTTAAAAATTGTATTAGAAAGAAACTTCAAACCTATGGAAAAGCAGAGAACAGTACAATGGACCTGTGTTTCCCAAGACTAAGCCCACAACCCATTTATTCTTATATAGTTTTCCTTGGCTGAAGCCTGTGCAAGCACACCCCATATAACATGCCATTTCACTCATATTCCAGAATGCAACACAGCTTCCCACATGACTGCATCCATGCTGCCCAGAATGCACACTTCTACTGATGCCTTCTTATTGCCATTCCCTGGCTCATGACAAAACCTTCCCAAAGGGCTTGCACACAGTTCAGCACATTCAAGTAGGAAGCTAAGCCCATGAGGGGTAGCCAGTGTGTGAAATCGTCAACACGATAATTGACTTGGACACAAATACTGAGAATTGTAACCCATATCTCAGGAGATTGTGGGAAACACTTGAAGTGTGATATCGGAGATTTCACAAAGAAAAAAATGAATGGTGAAAACATTGAAACAGTGTCTTACAGTTTACCGTGTACATAGAGCTATTCTACACATCATGTCATTGACTGCGCTTCAAAAACGATGAAGACGGAAGCCAAAGGCAAGGAAACGGTGCTCAGGAAATGCCCTCCAAGTAGCTGCAGGCTGAATACCACATGAAGACTAGATTTGGGGTGCCCCCACCCCAACCATAAGTACCTTCTCTTGTATTTAGCTAGAGTTTCTTATTCAAAAAACAAAATCCAGACACATCAACTTAATCTTAAAAGATTGAGCACACAAGTGGATGACAAAAGGGACTACTTTTTGCTGTTGTTTGTTTGGGGTTTTGGTTTTGGTTTTTTGAGATGGGTTTTCTCTGTGTAGCCAGGCTGTTTTGGAACTTGCTTTGTACACCAGGCTGGCCTGGAACTCACTAAGATCTGCCTGCCTCTGCCTTCTGAGTGCTGGGACTAAAGGCGTGCGCCACCACTGCCCAGCTGACTACATGCATCCCTATTCCAGCATGCCCGGCTCCTTCTCTAGGAGACGCTGTGGATGGCAATGTTTTCCACAGCAGCTTCCTGACATAGAGAGTCAGCACTTCTATGTGGCAGACGGTTGTGAAGGGGAAGTGCATGAGTAGTGTTAGTGAACCATGCTCGGATCCCAACAGCACTCCATCCAACAACAACACAGGCTAACACCAGCAGAGTTCTTAAAAATCCTAGGAAGAGGGCTGGAGAGACAGCTCAGTGGTTAAGAGCACTGGCTGCTCTTCTAGAGGAAACAGGGATTATTCCCAGGCTCCACATGGTGGCTTACAACCACCTCTAACTCTAGATCTGACGCCCTCTTCTGGCCTCCTTGGGCACCAGATACACAAGTCGTACATAGATACACATGCAGGAAAAACACACATACACACACATATAATAAAAATTAAATAACTAAAAATAGTATGAATGGCATTGGACTCAGTCTCCCAGGAAACCCTGCTCCTTCAAAAAAATCAGATCTCCTATGGCAGATCTCATCTTTCTCTACCACTGCTCCCCCCAGTTCCTAAATGGTGTGCTAAAATGGTTTGTAATGGAAATGATGATCACATCCCAGCTGGGAGCTTGGAGATTCCATACCAAATAATTAATTCCCAGCAGACAAAGTGAACTCAAGGTGACTGCACATAGGGCAAAGGTGAATGGCGTCTGCATGACAAAATGAACTGAGATGCTAAGGCAAGGGTGACAAGCATTTCTGAGGGGAGATGAAGCCTGCTGTAACAAATCACTTTCCTGGGAAATTCAGGAATCTATGTAGATGGGGCAAAGAGGCAGATTCTTTTGTGATATTTTTCTCTTAAAGCAAATTCATTTTCTTAAGACCTTGAGTTCTTACCAACACTGGCAGTCTGGACAGCTTTAGACATCATGAATTTACACTAAGAAAAACCCGCTCTGCAAGGTGCTGATTAAAACCATTTAATACTGGGTCAGTTGCTTCAGGTTCAATGCCACTAAAGCGAGGGAACAGTCTCCACCAGACTCTCAAAGTAGGGGTTCCAGAAAGCCTATGCTTCAGCCCCTGAACAGAGCAGTATTGTTCAATGTACCACCTGAGTAGCCTGGGACACAAACTACGTTAAGACTTCAAGGGTACTCTGACATACAGCTCAAGAAGGAAATGCATTTTTGGAAGACATATTTAGGTGGAGGCTCCACCCACTGCATAATACAATGTCTCAGAAAGAAACCACTAGGGCAGGCTGGACACATCAATTTCCCTTGGTACTGCTTTCAAGTTGAAGCCTACTGAATTATCTTAACATCTGAAGCTATCTAAAGATAAGAAAGTAAATAAAGGGATAAAGTTTTGCTGGGTTAACTGGACTCTAGCAATTTGGTGTTGATAAGAAACAAATGGGGTAGAGACTGGAAATCAATTTTGCAAAGATATCTCTGGCAAACCTTTTTGGTTAATTCAGTCACCATGACCCTGGTTTTGACCTATACCAAGTCCCTCTCATTTAGCTTTGCCTGCTAAATCATTTCAATGTCAGATCCCCTAGAATTGCCAATTTCTGCATTTATTCTCAAAAGCCACACCCAAAACTACGGGGAAGGGGGGTGATGCATGCCTATAATCCTTGTATTTGGGTGGCTGAGGCAGGGGGATATATAGAAAATCTTGACTGAAACAAACAAAACAAAACAAACAACAGAAAAAGTAATACCCACTATAGACTTTACATAGATCTGAGGGACATTTGCTATATAGTAAATCCTTCTATAAGGAATAGGACACAAGCTGTACATGAGCTAAGGGAAAGACCTGGAAAGTCCAGTGACAGAGATGTCTAACTGTGCCGTATCCACCAAGAATTTCCATTTTGTCCCACTGGCCCTGCACTTGCTCTGTAGACATCCCACTACCACCACACCTTTATCTCTCCTTCAATCACTTGGGAATATGAGGGAGATAGTGTGCCCCATGTGCTGAATCCCTAAGTGTTTAATTTCTAAGAATAAGGCTATCCTCTTACATGATAGCGTTGTAATTGTTACAATAAGGAAATTTTACTTTGATGTGATCCGATTATCCAATTCTTGGTTCACTTTCAAATTTAGTAAGTGCCCAATAAAAGCCCATTACAGATCATCTTACAGTTCTGGGTGCAGGATGCAATAGAAGATTAAACTCTGCACTCAGTGACCACATCTGCGCTGTCTGTTCCCACTGCCATCTGGAACAAATCCTTGGCGTTCCTGACTCTGAGAATGAGATGCCCCAAGGACAATTCTACATAAAACTGTGCTCCATCTTGTCACAGTTTCTCAAGGGCACATTCAGGTGGTATGTTCGTGCAAGCCGCCGCCCAGACTACGGTCTTTACTCAAGGCGCTGGGTCAGAGTGAACACGGCAAGGCTCTCTCCTCATACTAGGACTGTTGACCTCAGTCATTTCAAGGGTGACTTTGGACAATCTTCTCCACTATAGTTTTTCATCTCCTTTGGAAATGAAAAGATCTTTTTAGGGATACAGTGTGAAACAACATTCCTACCCTGGTTCCTCACCTTTCACGTACTAGTTTTAACATTCATTAATGATTTTCTAACTCTGTTTTTTCTGTATTCCTGAATGAAGAGTCTCACACAAGGAATATCTGTCCCTTCTCCAGATTTATTCATTCGTGTGTTTTGTGTGTACAGACTTGTTTTAGTTTTTACTTGATTCAGTCCATGATGGTACTTATTCCTAACATTATCATCTTGATGTTCAAACTGCCCCAGCTCCGCCCAGCAGGAGACCCTTCAGAATGCTCCTGTCATTTTCTTGGCTTATTTTTAACTACCTCCATCTAATCAGGTACACTGGTTTGGCTGCAACTTATACTTTATCCATCCCTGCCCCCTCCCCCAAAAAGCCATTCTATTCTAGCATATACTGGTTTCTTTTGGTGGGAAGAGTGGTTTAAAGACTCAGGAACTCACTTTTTTCCAAATGTACTAAATAAAAATAGAAAACATCACGTTTGACAGTGGTGGTGCACACCTTTAATCCCAGCACTCGGAAGGCAGAGGCAGGTGGATCTCTGTGAGTTTGAGGCCAGCCTGGGCTACAGAGTGAGTGCCAGGACAGCTGGAACTGGTTCACAGAGAAACTCTGTCTTGAAAACCATCCCCTAACCCCTTGCCAAAAAAAAAAAAAGAGAGAAAGGAAAACATTGGTTCTTCAAGAACACAGTATAGCTGAAGGCCAGTGTATCCATTCTGAACAGGAAAGGAAACTGAATCAACTCTGTGAATGTATGTCACATGGTTGTCCTTTCTCACAAAGACAGGCTGAATGAAACTAAAGTAGAAAGCTACCGACACAGTATGCTGTGGGACAGTCATGAGACCTGTTCAGTCAACATTTCAAAGCCAGGAGTGACAAGATGGGCTTGAGAGTGCCTACCAAGTGCAATGGAAGAACTGGACAACCCTCCAGGTATTTCTCTAGCCAGGTTAGGTGTGTCTTACCAAGAGCATCATATGACATCACATGGCATTTAGAAAGTAGTCATTTACAGGAGAAAACAAATCATAAGGAAGCCTCACCCCTTCCAGGACACATGTGGTAATGGTGTGTGTGTGTGGCGGTGGGGGGGGGGGATGCCAGCACAAGCTCTGCCGTACGAGATGGGCATGGTGATGGCTGACAATGTGGCATGGCCTTGGGTGCTAAGGAATGTACACAGAGACTAAGATGCTCGCAGCCCTCTCTCTCACTCTGCACAATTTCCCTCTCATTTAAATCGACTCTAGGTGCAATGTGATTTAATGTGGTTTTCTTTCAATTTGCATCACTGTGCATATAAAGTTGAATGAACCACAAAGGATCAATCTGAAATAGACTTGATATTGTTATTTTTCACACATTTATTGACCATCTACAGTATATCAAATCCTGTGCTAATGCTCATTAACACCCTGTGAATAAGACATTACCATGAGTCTCAGGCAAGGAAAGCAAGGGTTTGTAAGACCTCTAAAGTCC